TGTGCCATGCATTTGCCTTGCATAATTTATAGTCCAAAATAGGCACAGAATACTCAAAGTACAGACTATTCAGGAAAATCCATTATGTATGCATCATATATTGTATAGAGTTTATGACATATACAAAGGTGAACATAAGTTCATTACATGTTGACAATGGAAATTGAGTGAGAACAAACTACATTTCTGAGATTTGCTAACCCCACACCTTCCACATCAATTTCATAGCATTTCCCTTATGTTTTCTGAGCTGCCATTTTAATTTATAAATCAGTATTTTTTTTTAAAAGTCCTAACAGTGTTGATTTGTTATCTTAGATGGCATAAAATGAAAAATTTCAGTCTCCATCTGTTTCTGCTACTTGAGCAATGTATCAGTAAGGCTCCAGTCAAGATTTTGAGAGAATTTAATATCCGGAATTGGTGAAAAGGATCTGGAGAACCAAACAAAGCAAAAATATCTGAAGCACTGAGAAAGCACGGAAATATTAATACTGACTGCGGGAAGCAGCTACAATCTTTAGGTCTGGGAGAGCAAAGGGAGAAATTTAATTTACTCAAAACTAGATTCCCTCAAAATGGAGGGGTCATTTTCACGGTGCTGGGACTTCTTTGAAAGACCATAATGAGGCTGATTCTTTATATGTATTTTATTTTGTTTTATTAATTAATTAATTAATTAATTTTTGAGACAGAGTCTTACTCTGTCACCCAGGCTGGAGTGCAATGGCACGATCTCAGCTCACTGCAACCTCCGCTTCCTGGGTTCCAGCGATTCTCCTGCCTCAGCTCCCCAAGTAGCTGGGATTACAGGCACCCACCACCATGGCTGGCTAATTTTTGTATTTTTAGTAGAGACAGGGTTTCGCCATGGTGGTAGACTGGTTCTTTAATGCACAAAGACAAAAGAGACATGAACACATTGCTGTTGCCACTGTGAAGAGCCATTGGTTGGAAGCTGCTACATTGAACGTCCAGCCAACAGGAAGGCACCAGCCCCTCTCCCTTATTCCTTCCAGTCTCCCTCTGATGTCCCCACTGACAACATTTAACATGGACTGATAAAAAGGAATCATTTGTACAGTTTCAAAAGCAGCATCACAAAGCAGAGGACAGAAGGATGGGTTTCAGCCATAACACAGTAGCTTACTAACTGCAACAAGCAGCCTGAAGATGGAACGAGACAAGACTCTTGAAATCACTTAGTGCAGTGGCAAGAATATGCCTAGTAGGTGTTCAGCGAGTATTATCACTCCGGGATCCCCTTCAGTGTTCCTCAGACACTGAAATGGGACCATGTTTCACCAATATTATCGTTCCCCAGTTGCTTTCTCTTCATAACCGGGTAGGGTGGCAAGAAAATATGTTCCAAGTTTCCTTTACTTATCATTTTTTTATGTGCCAAAGATCTTTTTGAATCTGAAATTGAACTTCCTCTAAGCTGTTTTATGATTGTATGTGAGGTTTCTTTTGTTGCCAAAGATGCTGTTGTTTTTAACAGCAACTAATGTTTATTGATGACTTATCATGTGCCAGGCACCATACAAGCTCTTTTGCATAGCATCTCCTGTCTAAACCACCCAAAAACCCTATGAAAAGATACTACCACTATCTACATGTTACAGATGAGATGTTGCAAACTTCAGTTTCTTTTCGTCAGACTTAGATTAACTGGTCTAAGACCACACAGCTGGGAGCTCCCATTAAGTGTGGGAGGCTAGGATATACCCTTTTAACCACTCTGCAATGCTGCCATGTAGCTCACTTAAATCACCTCCCCTCCCACATTAGTTCAACATGGTGAGTGAACTGAACTAACAGCAGAATTTGATTAAATGCTTTTTTTGTTTTGTAATCTAGGGGGAGGGAGGCAATGCACACAGTTCTTGCATACTGCAAAACTGGAAGCCTTCTGACAAGACGTAGCAAGCTCTTTTATATTTCCCAGCCTTGCTGCTGCATCCAGGTCATTAGCACAGAGGCAGTCCCTGCCATACAGGAGGCGTGACTATGGCACTGGGCCTGTGCATTTTCAAGGCTCCTGGTGATATGCATTTGTTGGCATATGTAGAAAACGGAAATTCCAGAACTCCTCCCGTCTCTGAGCTCACTAAATTTTAACCTACACCGGCTTGACCTACAATGTAGAACTATCATCCTCACGCTCTGGCCAGGCCATTTTCTCAGACAGACCATCCCAGCTACTGGGCTGTCTATACAGTTAAGAGGGCAGACATATTCTACCACACCCATTTTGATCTGTGGCATCTACACCATGGTAACTCCTGACCAGGAAGGTCAGTGTCATGCACTTCAGACTTCTGGATCTTCCAAACAGTTTCACTTTTAGGTATCCAATGAAGGAAGATGTTTTGATCTTCACCCTGTAGCTTCTATGTCTCTTGGCAACTAAAAAGGAATCAGAACAGGCCCACAGAGAAGTGTTGGTGACAGAACTGACTGCAGTAGGGCAAGGTGGGAGGGAACATAAAGAAAGGGTATCTGGTTGCCATGGCAAGCCAGCAAACACTCAAAAGAGAGAGGGAGTGGCCCAGGACTTAATGAAGTGCCACTGGGTTTGAGCAGCAGCTGGAATGTCTGAGTGTAGCTGCATTCCTTCCCACAGAGCCTGGGGCCAGGCCACTAGCAGGGACTACCCGTACCTCTCAGGAATGCTCAGGATGAAGACAGCCACAGAAAAGACAAGCAGGCCTCCCAGGTGTGGGTTTCCATACCCCAGCCACAGAAATTGGGGCCTCCCAGAAGAAATTTGGAAAATTCCGCAAAGAGCCAAAAGAGACTCGATCTACAAATTATTTTTCCCCCAAAAACTCTGAGACTGACATTCTTTGGGGTATGAGAAGGCATTTTGAAAGTTCTTCCTTGCAGAAGTTTACGTCTGCCTTTCTCTTTACTCCCTACCCTCTTCTAAGATGGTATTCTCGCCATGGCAATGGCCCTGGGGTCTCAGAGACCTCACAGTTTGATCAAACAGAAGACGTGTGTTAGCAGTGGGAGTGTAAATGGCAGTGAGTTGAAGAGGCAGGTCAGGGAAGACACTGGATCTAGAAGAGACAAGACCATACATACGTGGAAGGGCTGGGGCTGGCATGGAATGGGCAACTGGATTTAGAGAGTACAAAAAAGCCTGAGGTCAAGTCAGCATCCAGTGTCAGAACCCAGTGGTTGAATGAAACATTCACTAGCTAGGAGATTCCTGGAAACTCTGATAAGGGTGTAACAGTGAGATCAGCTGCTGGCCAGGTAGCTGATGAGGAAGGAGACCTGGAGCCCCCCTGAAGAGCCTGGAAAACAGATATTGCCAAAATCTCAACTTGATTTCACCTCTGTGTCTTGCTACCTAAGTGCCCCTCTCCAGACTAATTCTTCTGTCCTATTTCATCAAACCCGAAGCCTTAACTAGCTTAGAGGAAACTGATGTCTAACGTGGCATGAATGGGAACTAGAAACAAGTGGTGAGATTTCGGGTACATATGAAATGCTAATAAGGTGATGTAGAGTACTTCACTGCAAAAGAAGGAGCAGAACTCATTTATTAATACATATGTAATCAAATATTAGATATTTAATTAAGAAGTTAAAATGTAATCAAACATGTATCAATAAGAATTTTTTAGCTCCAGCTATACTAGGGGAAAGAAACGTGTGCAGAGCATTTTGCACCAGATGCTTTCAGGAATGACTAGATTGCCCATTTGAATGTGTATAACATGCCAGAAAATGTAAGCTCATCCCTCAACTTTGCAAATGGGCCCTAAAAGACTCAGTCATTGGCTCAAGGTCTCCCTGAGCTAGGATTCCAACTAGGTCTTGATGCTAAAGTCTGTACTCCCTGGTTGAGCACACATGAATACCTACACTGGCTGCAATGTCTTCCAAAGATCACTTCCAGAGAGACAAGGCCTGCAATGCAAAAATGCCTTGTTCACTCCGAGGACTTCATTTATACCTAAAGAGAACCTCTGCTACTGTCCCCAAGTGATGACCATTGCCTGGGGCACTCTTTACTTCACGAAGGTAAACTGTCTAATGCTAAAATTATGATGGGTGGCTCTGGATTGCTCATTAGTGAGCGAGCTGCCCAGGCAGAGCCCTGGGACACGCTCTGGTATTAGCACAACCCTTTAATATGGTGGATAAATTGGATAGTCTTGCTGACATCGTTTTTTAAAAATTTTCCCTCTCTTAATACTTGGAATCAAGGTCGCATTTTATTAAATCTGGGGCCTCAAACTGGAACATGGCATGGCTTTAAATGAAATTATACCTAAAACATGGCCAAAAGTTAGAACATAGAACACTTAATTATATGTGAGCATGCCTGTGTGTGAGAGAAGGGAAGAGGCAGAGAGAGAAACATTAACCAGCCTGTCAAAACAATGTACATCCCAGGCCAGAAAGAGCACAGAAATTCAGAAACCGGCCAATAACCATCTCCACTACTTTGTTTCTTCTTGGTTCTTTCTGTACCAAAGATACTTCTGTTTGCTTAGGGTACTGACACCTATAACAACTATTTTTGAAGTGCCATTTCCAGGACTGGCACTTCATATTCATTGCAGTAAATCTGCATAACAGTTCTTTAAGTTTGGAATTTATTAATATCTTCCCATTTCACAGATGGGAGCACCACGTCTCAAGCCATTCACTAATTTGCTCAAGATCTTGCTTGATCGACAGTTGCTACTTTTTCTCTCATCCACATGAACCACATACACCTGAGGTGCATATGCACGTCTGTTAATCTATTAGCTGGGCAAAAGCATGCCTCAACATAAAACTGACCTTCACGCCCAGAATACAACGATCGTCTTGAGAATGAGCCGTTGGCCTTGCATTGCCATCAGTTCTGAAACTATTGCTCAAGAACCAATCAAAACATAAAGCTCCAGTGTCCACAGACCAACCCACCCACCAACCCCTAACACAAAAATACAACATGATCTTTTATTTTGGTTTTCACATGCATCAAATCAGAGTTGAAATTCCAGTCAACACATTTCAAGGTTTTATTTAGGGAAGGACACTATGTAAGGTGATACCATAGACCAAAAATGGGTAAGACAGTGTTTTCAGAGCCACCACATAGAGGTGTGAGGTTGTGTCCTGCCCAAGGCTGCCTGGTCCAAGGAGTGAATGTGTCCAGAAACCCAGCCATGCTACCTGAATTTTTCAAGCCATAGTCTCTGACACTGATTTGCCTTTACTCAGATAAAATGATGCCTTTTTCCAATTCTCCCAAAAGGCATCAAATGGCCTAGTGGAGCCCCGAGTTCACCTGCTTTTAAAGAGGTTACAGTTGAATAGTGGGGAAAGATAAGAACACACATCTAATAAAAATCAGTCAGATATATTGATTATCCTAGAAGAGGACAATAGGGGTCATGAACACCTTAAATCTCATCGAACAGAAAGATAAAGAAAGTCTTCATTAGATTGGAGATGTGTGAGAAGCAACTAAAAAAATGAGCAAGTTTTTTGTCACATGAAGGTAGAAGAGACGGCACTCTAGGTAAACAAATAACATGAGCACAAAAGTGGAAACTTCAGGGACTGGGGAGTTACCACCTTTGGCAAGGGTATGGAGTATGTGTTCAGAAGCAGGGGAGATCAGTGTAAAGGGCTGGCTGTGCTGAGACTGGTTTGAACCTTAAGGACACACAGAGACAGCGAACTCTTTTCCTGAGTAGTGGATGACTCCATAAGAGCTGTGCTTTCAGAGGAAGTGTGTACTCACTGTGCTGGAATGGATTGGAGGGGGACGAGGAAGGTGAGGAGCACTTGCTTAGAGACTTTACCATGGAAGCGATGCCAGCCCCAGACAGAATGAGAGCACAGCAGATGGAAAGGAGGATGATGGATGTGAAAGACACGAAGGATACGCATGGATTATTTACAAGTATAAAGAAACTGGTGTCAAAAACAGTTTTACTCTGAGTAAAAGCCAGAGTCATTATCATAGCTAACAAGATCCTCCAGGGTCCCCTCCACCCCTCCGTACTTCTCCAGCCTCACCTGTCTCCCTCATTCTGCTGCAGCCATACCGGTCTCAATGCTCTTCCTCACACACATGAAGTTCTCTCCCACCTCACATTTGCTGTTCACTGTGCCTAGTTCATTCTCCCTCCCAGGTATCCCTTGGCTCATTTCCTCACTCCCTTCGCATCTCCAAGAAGCATCCATGGGCCTTCCCCGTGTGAACCAGCTCCTTTGCCGCCCTGCCCCTCCTTATCCCCACTCCCTGCTCTCTTTTCCCACAGCAATCTTCAACAGCTGGCATACATACTTATTGCATATTATCTGTCTCCTTCAACTTCTCAAGTTTCTTGAGGACAGAGATTGCAATTTACTCACTACCGTATCCCTAGTGCCTGGGATGTAATAGTTATTCAACAAAAATATATTGACTAAAATAATGATACTATCAGCTATGTGAGTATTTTTAACTTCATTAAAATCAGAGAAGGCTGGATATAAAACATATAGCTTTGGGATACAGTGAGTTCCTTAATATGAGGTGAATTCATAATGAAGCAGGACAACTTACTGGAAGGAATGTTATAGTGAATAACAGTGGGCTTTTGGAGACCCTTTCAAGCCTGAGAATCTGCAAAACTAAGTACAGTGATTTATGCGTGTGGTTTCTCAGGAAATGGAGTGTTGTGATAGAGCGTGGTGGGTGAATGCACAAACCCTAGAACCAGACAACTGGGTCCAAATACTGGCTCTGCCACTTACTGGATGTGCCATCTGGGGCTTCTTTGTGCCTCTCTCAATATTTCTCATGTCTCATTTATGTTGAGTGCTTCACTGCTCTCCAGTCACTGTCTGATTTCCCAAAGTTAGCATCCCAGGAATTACTACTTATCTTAGCCACTAAAAACTGGCTTTATGAAAGCTACATGCCAGTAAGAGGTCTTTGTGTTTGCTTTTGAATTTATGGTTTCAGGCATCTGGATGTATAATTTGTAGATTATTTATTAAACTTATTTTTTCAAACTAGATAATATAACCTAAAATATCCACCTGAGCATCATGCAACCTTACATTAGCCATGAGATATAAGTAGCATGATTTAAAAGCAAGTTGAATTATATATGTGTGTGTGATGCTTTAGAACTGTGCTGGCCAGTGACATGGCTAGCTACATGTCGCTGTTAAAAGGCACTGAAATTAAGTAACATTTAGAATTCAGTTTTTCAGTCTCATTGGTCACTAGGGCTAGAGAGCAACCTGTAGTGCCTAGTGGCTACTACCTCAGACAACGCAGACATAGAACATTTCCATCGTCAAAGGTTGCACTGGACGGTGCTATTGTGCAATGCAATAAATTCAGCAATTCAATTGTCTTTTGAAGAAAATAACCAGTGTTCCTCACATAGGTAATGCAACTTTACAGGCATATGCCAGCTGAGTTTCTGCCAACTCCAAATTTCCCCCTAGCCCACTTCCTTTTCCTCAGCTCCACATGTTACCACCGTTGCCTTACAGATCCATTTTGCTTCTTTCCGAATCAGTGGGATAGAACATCTCCTGGCAGCCAAACCACATAGGAGTTTCCATCTGTTCTAACTGTCCTGAGAACATAACTAATGATGGCACACATCTTAGTCCCTCTAAGGTTAGAGAAGCATGGTGTTTGGGAATTTTGAAGTCACAAAAGGGCAATTCTCTCCTCTCCTCCTTTTCTTCACTGTCAATTTTATTTTATTTTGAGACAGAGTCTTGCTCTGTTGCCAGGCTGGAATGTAGTGGTGTGATCTCGGCTCACTGCGACCTCTGACTCCCTGGTTCAAGCAATTCTCCTACTTCAAGCAATTCTCCTGCCTCAGCCTCCCGAGTAGCTGGGATTACAGGCACATGCCACCATGCCCAGCTAATTTATTTTTTTGTATTTTTAGCAGAGTTGGGAGTGTTCACCATGTTGGCCAGGATGGTCTTGATCTCCTGACCTCATGATCCACATGCCTCAGCCTCCCAAAGTACTGGGATTACAGGCATGTGCCACCATGCCCAGCCATTCTTTTTTTTAGATGGAGTCTTGTTCTGCCACCTAGGCTGGAGTGCAGTGGTGCAATCTCTGCTCACTACAACCTCTACCTCCCAAGTTAAAGTGATTCTCCCTTCTTAGCCTCCCGAGTAGCTGGGACTACAAGTGTGTGCCACTATGCCAGTCTCGATTTTCCTATTTTTAGTGGAAGGGAGGTTTCATTATGTTGGCCAGGCTGGTCTCAAATGTCTGGCCTCAAGGGGTCCTCCCACCTCAGCCTCCCAAAGTGCTGGGATTACAGGCATGAGCTACCACACCTGGCTGCAAATGTTTTGAGAGAGTAATCTATACACATCATCTCCATCAATCACTCTTTAACCCCTTCTTGCCTGGCACTGCTTAACCACTATGCTGGGCTTGGTCTTGGGCGAAAGTAGATATTTAGGAAACTGAGGCTCAGAGAGTTTCAGTAACTAGACGACTTACCTAGTGAGTAATGGACCCAGAATGCAAATTCAGATTTGTCACCTTTGAAACTTTGTAGTTTTCATCCTTGCAGATCATTATGCTGCTGCCCATGGATCACAAATCACCAATACCTCCTACATATTGACTTTCTAGGTCCAGGCTCAGTCATCCTGACCCCAGCCTCCCTGTGCCAGGTCACCTCCCTAGGTAGAGAAAGCATGAACAATGTTGAGTTAATAAGCAGTATTTTCCCATTGTGAAGACTACTTGGACATTCTAAAAAGCTGTAGAAATTTTCTTACAGATGATTCTAATGGTTATTGATTCGCTACTTACAACGTCATTTGCACCCTAACATAACTTGCCTAACCATTCAGGAAGCACTTTGAGTTGTATGTATTAAATTGTGGTGTGGGGAAATTCTCTAACTTTAACAGCCTTTTGTGAGATTTAAATGTGACTTGTATGTGTATAAACATTTTTAAACTGGCAATTGCCTTCAGATAGCAGTTACCCAAAGGAAAGAAGGGCACATTTACACAACATAATTGGTAGTCATTAAAAAGTAAACACTGTCCCTTCATTTTCTTATTTATTTTTTTTTGCATTTTAATAAATGACTTTTGTGTAGACAGAGACAAAGAAAAGGAAGCTTGTCTATATTAAATTATCCTTAGAAGAAAATTGGATTTGAAGAACATTAGCAAATTGTAGTTAATCTGAATATTGCCATTACTCGAAACTACCTTTCAGGGCTTAGAAAGGTTTTTATTATACTCATTTGGAATGTTAACCACATTTGACTTGTAGATTTAAGAATGTACTTCATCATTGTCATACTAGTTCTTACTAACACGCAGCAATGTAACCTAAAGACTGAGTGGCACGACCAGATTAAAAATGAAAACCAAACCATATTCAGCAAGAAGCCAAGTGTGGCAAATCACACACCACAGTGTATTGACCACCAGGCTGAATTCTGACTGAACAAGATGTATTCAATCTCAGGTAGGCTCACACAATGGCAGACTTGAGAATAACCATCTTTTATTATTATTATACTTTAAGTTCTGGTGCACATGTGCAGAACGTGCAGGTTTGTTACACAGGTATACACGTGCCATGGTGGTTTGCTGCATCCATCACCCTGTCATCTACATTAGGTATTTCTCCCAATGCTATCCCTCCCCCAGCTCCCCACCCCCTGACAGGCCCTGGCATGTGATGTTTTCCTCCCTGTGTCCATGTGTTCTCACTGTTCAACTCCCACTTATGAGTGAGAACATGCAGTGTTTGGTTTTCTGTTTATTGCGATACCATCTCACGCCAGTTAGAATGGCGATCATTAAAAAATCAGAAGACAACAGATACTGGAGAGGATGTGGAGAAATAGGAACACTTTTACACTGTTGGTGGGAGTGTAAATTAGCTCAATATTGTAGAAGACAATGTGGCAATTCCTCAGGGATCTAGAACTAAAAATGCCATTTGACCAAGAAATCCCATTATTGGATATATACCCAAAGGATTATAAATCATTCTATTATAAAGACACATGCACACATATGTTTATTGTGGCACTGTTCACAATAGCAAAGACTTGGAACCAACCGAAATGCCCATTAATGATTGACTGGATAACCATCTATTTTCTAAAACAGTCTTGTATTTTGCCAGGCCAGATATCCCAGGCACATGTAGAAGCTTTTATGGGCATGGACCATTATGGGATACAGGATCCTCACCACTACCATCTTTTTCTTCTGAGCCAACCACTGAGAAACCTGAAATACTAGGAGTATTTCAGTGGTCTTCCTGGAATGACTTAAGGAATGATCCAAAGTCAGCTTCAGAGATGCCCTAGAGCCCTTCTCATTACCTCACCCAACCTTACCCTGAGCCCTTCATCATCTGGATGACCTGAATCTAAGAGTAGTGAGTCTCCCAGCTGACGGATGACTCATCATGTCATTTAAGTTTGTCAGTCAATGGAAACCAGAGCTCCAAAGTCTCTGTCCAGGACTCTCCCTAGGGAAGCTATTAAGGAAAAGGCAGCCTTGCCAGACATTTCTGTCCAGCTGGCCTAACTGGTATGTGCAAGGGCATCTGCTTATACTCAGGGCCTGGCATGAGGAGAGAGAGGGCCCTGGAAGGGTGCTCAGGAAAGTTTGCCCTCAGTTTTTCTACCATTTGCTAGAAACAACAGGCAGGAGAGAAAATAGGCTCAGCTACTCAGAAAGCCACAAGGAAAGCAATGAGCACCTTGAAACATAAACCGGTCAAAAGACATTAAACTTTCCCATTGCAAATGGAACTGGGTCAATGCTGTGCAATAGATAACATTACATTTGGAGACAGAGAACTTGGATTCCCACCCCAACCTGCACTTAGATACATGAACTTAAATTTTCCTATAACCTCACAGATACTCAGTTTCTTCATCTGTAAAATGAAAAGAAAAAAAAAAAACTGTCCTTGCTCTGCCTACTATGGGTAGCCATAAAGCAAATGAAAGCACTTTGTGCACCATAAAGAAAATGCTTTTTCTCTCTCTCAAATGATTATTTCTAACCACAAACCTCTCTCCCAAGTTCCAAGCTCACATTTCCAACTGTCTATTTCACAGTTCTTTCCAAATGCCTCATAGGTATGCTGAGATATCTGCCCAGTCCTTCAAGCAGCCAGGTGGTGACTGGTGTGGCCAGAAAACTCTGCAAGCTGGCCCCAACTGCAGAAGGCTCCTCTAGGGTGCTGAACACTGCTTTAGATGACATTTCCAGCTAATTATGTATCTGGCTTTCAACCCGAGTTTATTGAGAGAGCAAATGTCTACTCTTTCTTTAAAAGCCTACTCCTGCTAGCTTCCCTTTTCTGTCAGGGCAGGAAGCTTTCACATTGTGTATTTCATGCAGAGGCATCACCCTTGACATTGCATTTCACCTCTCTTCATCCTATTAATCACAATTTTTCTTTTCCTTCTGACATCTTGGTGTCCCACAGAACCAGGCTAACTCCCTTCATATGACCTTGAGGAACTTTTCTTGCCAGTTTGGGGCTTACTGTTCTCATCTGTGAAGTCAGGATATGCTGTTTGCAGATCTGTTTTAAGAATTAAGTAAGATTTTGTATTTACCAAATGGATGGTACATGTTAGCTTAGTTCTACCTTCCAGCTAAGCTGGATGCCTCACTGATACTCCAAAATGCACAGCCTATACCTTTCCTACCTCCACATCTTCAACCCTGTTGTTTTCCTTGCCTGGACTCTCCTCTCGCCACCCTCATTTGTACCTGTCGGATCACATGCATCCTTCCCCAACCATATTCCAAATGCTGCCTACCTTTGGCATCCAGAAGTGAGCCCTACTTCCTCTGGACTGCAAGTAATTCTTGCACATTATTTCAAAACTCATGAGGTATTTGACATTCCTGCCTTACATTCTACTTTCAGATATGCCATGTCTTCTTATGAACGTTCATGTTCATCTTCCTTACATATCCTGTTTACTTAATAACTGGTTTTTAAATGACTAAAAGAAATGACCAATCAATCAAATAAATAATGACTATTGCATGGACCTGGCACAAGACAATGGGAAGTGATTAGAAAGTGATGAAATGATTTAAACAAAGGGACACCAAAGACACTTCACATTTTGTGTGCTGATTTTTTAATGAACATCTTATAGTCTTACAAAATAACTGGCTGTAGCTGTTTGACATTACATTACAGTAGATCAGCTCCTTTCACTACATCCCCAATCAAGCCATCCCCTTGGGTGTTAACTAATGCACTCAATGGTGATCACAAAAGAATAGAGGCAGTGCCAAGTTCAATGCCTTGTAATAGAAAAAAAGAGAAGAGAATCAGGAAAAGCTCTTTCATGATCCCTTCACTTTCATTTCTGCCAGCATCTGCCCATTCTCCTCACTTGGTCCCCCTGCCTGCCTTTCTGGCTGGACGCTGTCGTGCTAGTCGTTAGAGCCAGCTAGCCCTGCGCCACCTGGGCACAATCAAACACACAGAAGAGTCTCTGAGAAAGGCTCTCAATGACCACATGGGTGGATAAGAGCAGTAGAATGTGGACCATCACATGGAATGTGAGTTGTGTTGCTGGGATCTGTGACCATAGTGTCTTAGTCCTTCCACTTTGTCAGTGACCTGAGTTGCTCAAAACCTCAAGCCTCAGGAACAGAGACCGGAAGAACCTGCTGTCGGCTACAGCTGACTATGACTGGGAAGCCTGATTGCCTAAGGGGCTCTTCACACACAACAGGAACTTTCCTTTTGCCTTTACAGAGCAGTGCTGAATTGCAGAGAATAAAATATTTAAAAATGAAATTTAAAATGCAAATGTTCTTACTATTGCTCTTGTGGAGAGACTGCACGCAGACACACACCGGCATGAGCCACAGGCTCCATGTTCCTGAACTGGGGAATGCCCAGGATAATAATTCCTCTGCCTCAATTTCAGACAAGATAGGATTCCCCAAGGCAGAACTTAGCACTCTTCCAGCAATTTGGACATTTTCCCAAATAAAACAAAATAGGGTGTCGAAACTTTTCCATTGTCCTTTGCCTACTGAAGCCTATCAGAATACCAACAATAAACATGCTTGTCTTATTGGGGGCACTAAGCATGACTCAAGACAATGAGTGGTATCTGAGCTACATCTTCTTTATGCTAGACATTAGAGGACCAAACAAAGATTGTTTTTGAAGGGGTGAACTCTACTCTTTCCTTTTCCCAATGGCTGTGACACCGTCATTCCACAAACCAACAGATTAATATGGGTATATCACCTTATTCTTGTTTTACTCCCTTTCAGGATATTCTTTTTCCCTATGTGATAATATAGATAATATTTCTATAGCTGTGGTAGTATTTCCTGTTCCTATTTGCAAAACTGTTTCTCTGGTGTTGATGGGAAAAGTAGAAAAACTCTGGTCAAAGCAAAAGAGCAGAAGATGGAGACAGACCACGGTTGAGATCTAAGTGTTGTCTGTTCCTGGTTTCCATTGGAGAAGAAACTTTAAGGGAGACAAGCCTCACAGTCTTCCTAAAATGAGTAAAACTAGAATAGTAAACAGAAATTGGCTCCTTACTCTCTTTCCCTAAGGCCTAATCCAGAAACCGTTACAAGAAAATGTAACTGCAATAGACCACATCCCAGTGACTCTGGGATGTCAATAGAGAGAGGCTTAATGTGGTCATTTCATGTGCAGTCCATGTATTGGATAAGAAAGGGTAAAAACAACAAAATGGACCCTAAATAGTTGAAATTCTTCTGTCTCCCCACAGAGTGTCACCCTTGCTCCATGTATTCTCATAGCTTGCTGAAGTCAAAATCTCTGGCTCACAGATTTTGTACACGATACTTGACAAGAATTTATCTCAGATTCTTCATTGCTCAAGGGACCCACTTGGGTCTTCTTTGGAGACTTGGAACAAGGACCAAACCTCCCCGATCACTTCCATTCTCACGCCCAGGCTTTAGTTTAACCCTGACTGCTCACTTCTCCACAGTCCTCTTTGGCTCCTCCATTCCTGCCTGGGCTTTCATCTCCTCCCACCTTTCCCCTGTGTCATTTCCATAATATTTTTCCCCAGAAAAAAAAAAATCAACACGTGGTCATGTGACTGTGAGTGATAGCCAGGCTTGGAGACTTCTAACAAGAAGTGGGACCACAGGCCAAGTATGAGGATCGTGTGAGTTCCTGTAATCCTGGTGCTCAGAGAATGGGCTCTAATGCAAACTTGTTGACTGGCTGGCTGGCTGACAGCCACCCTTGGAACAGACAAGTATGGAAATGCAGAGAATCCTGGGTCTCACCAACTCCAACTGAGAGTTCTTAGAAGTGGACACAAGTTAATATATTCTTTGTGGACAGATATTCAAGAACCATTATCTAGTTCTGGACCCATCACCAGTAGGTACTCACACCCAACTTCCTAAGCCTCTTAGTGCCACCATTCTAACTCCCCATCTCCTTGATCATAAATGGGCCCAGCTCCCAGGTCACAGAAAACGATGATTAACTTTACATGCAAGCATCCAGAATTCCATGTCTCTCTCCTTCTGCACCTCCCATTTAACCTGCCAATCCTCATCCATAGAAAGACGGGAAAATAAGTTGCCTTTCTGCCCTCAAAGTCTCAGCATTCAATTTAAACTTCACAGCAGCATGTGTGGAACAATGAATAATTTTTAGCTTAGTAAACAGCAAAAATATAATATATATATATTTATATAATTATGTTTAAATACTTATAAAGAATAACTAACTTCATTATTTAAGGGAGACTACACAAAAGGAAAAAGAGCCAGTTGAGAGCAGACAAGCTCTGAAAGATGGCAATTCATTCGAAATGGGTATTAGCAGAGTGTCCCTGCCAAATTCTCCTCTAGTATTTCGGTATTGGTTTACAAGTTGGGTGGGACTGAATAGTTGGCAGGGTGTAGAGTGGGGAGCAGGGCAAGAGTTGAGGATAGGATTGAGTAGAATGTAAATGAGGGAGGAGGGTCCTTATATATCTATCATATTTCCCCTTCCATGTTAATCAACTGCTACTTTAAAGAAACTTTTGCCTATGATTCTCCCCTACTTGGACCACTCGATGTATTAGTTGGCACCTATCAATATCCTCATGCATTTCTTATAAGATCCTTCATACTCTTCCTCCTTCCTCCACTTCATGACTGTCCTTCTTCATTCACCCTTTGTTTCCTCCTGGGTCTGCCTCTCTTTTTTTACTACCTCTGAGGCAGTGGAGGGAGGGGCTTGTTCCCACAGTTACTGATTTTCTTCTGCCTTGGGGTCTCGGCAGGTGCACTCATCCAAGTCACAGTCAGCAGCAAATGGAATGACCTAGGGGGATGAAAGAGAAGTTAAAATAGTGCATTTCTGTGATAGCTTCATACTTTTCAACCAGCATTCACTTTTCTCACTTGGTGCCAGAGGAACTGGGGAATTATGTGCTAATATCATCACAGACCAGAAATAAACACACGGTTTTCTCACTCACACACCCCATCACCATGTAGCCTGAGGCGAGGTAATCATTTCTTGCTTCACTTTCCTCACATATAAGTTGGGGAGGACAACAGAAACGACCCCAGAGGGTGTTTGTATGATTTCAATAACATGGTAAGTATAAAGCTCTTATATATTGCCAAGCATAACTACTGTCAGTTCTAATATTGCCACTCTTATCTAAAACTACTGCTCTTACTGTTACTGTTACTTTCCCTGTAAAGCAGGAAAGATGAATGGTAGCATCAGCATCTTCTTTTTACAGGGAAGGGCAAAAGATGTGAGGTGACTTGACACAAGGTAATGACACTGCTATATGGGAAGCTGAGACAAGCTACAGACTCACTCTCTGCCTCCAACCTCTCAGTGTTCTTGGGACAAGAGGAACATCTTTGCCATCCTCATAAAGCATGAGTTTTCGCTTTTTTGAGCCCAAGATATATATTGGTTTGGCGGAATAATGCATCTCCCCACCCACTGTTTGTGGCTCTATTGCTTTCCTTCTATGTAACTATCTCTTCCCCATGCCAAAGACAGTCAGAAAAAGTTACTCTCTTCTGCTTGCACTACTACAAATAGATAAATGCTACATTTTGAGTGTCCATAACTAGCATCAGAGAAAATTGGGCATTTGGGAGATGCGACATAAAAGTGTTAGTGATTTTTCCCTTTGGGGCATTAACAATAGAATTAGATAAAAATAAGTAGGCATATCACAAACAATACTGGTCCAAGTACACTAAAGAGATGGGCTTGGTGATTGGGCAAGTGGGTTGGAGAATGGGTGGGGCTGTGTGGGGAAATTTCCAGCATATTTGCACATTACTTTAAAATGTGATTTAGGAGTCAACAGAGGGGTGAAGTGCCTTTTCAATCCTAATTCCTGTGTCTGCTGGCCTCAGGCACTGAAATTTATTACAATTACTAGATTTTTCAGAGTGTGAGATAGGGAGAGAACTGCTTAATTTTTTCCTAAGTTGTCCTGTCTTCCTTTACAGAGATAGCTGGCCTGATTTCTGACCTGTGGTCCAAGCCCTTGATCTGTTTCTCTTAGTTTAGGATGTATGGGTTTTTAGAGCAAAATAGAGCCAAGTTAGTGATATAATGAGCACCCGAGCACTCTGCATTAATTAAGTTACTTCACATAAGTGGTGAGAATAGTGCCTGCCACATATTGAGTGAGGGTTAAATATTAGTAAGTAAGAGATGTAATATTCAAGCCTGCATGTAAGTGATTAAGATAGGTGTGGCTTTATCATGGAGACACCTCCAAGGAAGAAAATACCATCTCTTGCTTATTTCAGATTTATCATATTGACCCAACTCGCTTTAAATGCCTTTGAAGCACTTAGGTTTTTTACCCATCTTACTACAACATTTCTGCTTATTCTATTTTATAAGGCTTAGCTTGAGTCTATCTGCCAATTTAACAGAGCCAAGAGTAACAAGGATGAAGGGCATCAAGAAAGGATTATTGCTTAAGACACAATCCAGAGAGCACTCAGGTGGCTGGTGGCAGCCATTTAACATGTATCTGCGAGCTGCTTGTAACATACTCTGTAAAATTATTAATGTAATTACGAAGACAGATAATAACTGGATAGCACTTTGTTGGTAATCCTGCCTCCCCCGGGGTAAAGATGGTTATTTTCCCTGCCTACAGAAATGTTTCTTGGCCAACGATAAACAGGTATGAGTCCTTCCATAGCAATAACCATGGCTTTTCTGAAAGAGTCACTGAACTGACAAAGAACTGGTGTTGTGTAAGAACCTATGCTATCCTTAACTCTGTCAATGTAGAAGCTCCAGTGTTTGCTCATTATAATTCCCTCCTAATTGTTGAATACAAACCCGTTATTACACACCATGAAGGAGAGATAGCTGAAGACCCTGCCTTTATTCCTGAAACCACTGCCTCCCCCATCCCCAGGTTCTCTCACTCACCTTCTTGGAGGAGAGCGTGGAAGAGCAGCAGTCTCCCCCGTCATAGTTGCAGTAGGCTCGGTTGTTGATAGTGTCACACCAACCATCTGCTTGGAAGGGCTGTAGGGAAGTTGGAAGGCAACATCTCGGTACAGCCTTATTATGTCTATCTTGACTCTGCCATTCCCCCATCCAAGCGCAATCCATACAACTCCAGAGATATTACAGAAAAGCACCCAAGGTGCAGGATACACATTGACCTAACATTTGCAAGCAGCTGAAAAATCTCAAGACCACTGGGCCCAATGAATTGTTATATTTCACTTGCAGTAGTGTTCCTCACCTACTCTGAGGTCTGAGATAGGTCATTTAAACTGGCTGATCAACTTTTTTTTTTGCTTTCTTGCAATAAGAGGGCTTTATATTATGTAGGCTACAAGACACTGCCCCATGTTTCTAACTCTGTTGAACATGGGAGAAAGCCTGTGCAGTAGGCAGGGTTGGGTTTCAAAGTCCTGCTTTCTGTCTTTCTTTCTTTTTCCTTTTTTTTTTTTTTTTTTTGAGACAGTCTTGCTCTGTTGCCTATGCTGGAGTGCAGTGGCACAATCCTGGCTCACCACAACCTCTGCCTCCCGGGTTCAAGCAATTCTCCTGCCTCAGCCTCCCGAGTAGTGGGACTACAGGCACACATCACTATGCTCAAAATAATTTTTGTATTTTTAGTAGAGACGGGGTTTCACTACATTAGCCAGGCTGGTCTCGAACTCCTGACCTCATGATCCTCCCACCTCAGCCTCCCAAAGTGCTGGGACTACAGGCATGAGCCACCATGCTTGACCAAAAGTCTTGCTTTTTTAACAAGGAAATGGGAATGCATAGAGATGATAAGAATTGCCCAGGTCATATAGCAAGTGTCAGATACAGCTTAGTATTAGACATCATGTATCCTGGCTTTGTACTGCTTCTCACATATTAACTCTAGCCCTCTCCTGGTGTACTAATACTTAGAGACTGATACTTAGAGACCTGAGTAGTCCTTGGGTACTATGAAGACTAAAATGATGCCTGTCCAGCCTGCAGTGCTTGGGTTGAGGGCACTAGTGCTGGGACACAAATATGCCCACAGATACAGCCACCTCATGCACAGCAACTTGACACAGGGTTAGAGCAGAGACAGCTGTACTGTTTCCATCCACTACTATTACTGCAGTAAGTCAGCAGGAACCAAAATGGGAAAGGGGTCCAGGTCAAACCAAAGTTAATGGAGTGTTTCACCCCAAAAGAGAATGTGCAGTAAGAATAGCAACAAGTTGTTAAAAAACAGCTCAGCAGCCCAATGCATTATTTCTCTAGAAAACTGCCTCTGAAGGGAAACACTGCCGTGCTGTATCCTGGAGGGTGCACCAGCCAGCCCACCTACTCCATACAGCTGGCTGCTCCTCATCCTGAGTGATGCCCAACCATAGAGTCCTAGGAAACATCTTGTGGTCAAATTGTTTGGGCCACACAACTCTTTAAGTTCTGAAGCCACCTTTGAGTTTACATGTTCAAATCACTTTCTCTCTCCCACCCTCCTTAAATGTCAAACAGAAGGACAGATTTCTATTTAACTGTGTTTTGATGAGATGGATCACTCAACACAAAAATGGCCATTAAATAATTCTCAGCAATTGAGTTACATCAGAACGAGTTTATCCAAGTGATTACTTCAATGTTTTGATTTATTCTATGGAATCCTGAGGTCACTGGAACATCATTCCAGATGTTTACCAGTTCGCCAACCCTGAGAAGCTGCTACTTGTGGGGTGGAACCCGACAGCTGCCTAACAGCTGCTTAGCAATGTCACTTCCTGTTGTGAGCAGGAAGTGAAAATGAATTCTGTTTTCAACACAGGCCTCACTGGGATGAAAGACAAAGATTCTGAGATGAGCATTTGTCTTTAATGCTGGAACCAGTTATTCTGGCTCTAGGGAACTTGGAATAACTATAGAATCAAGACTCGGGTCCTGAATTGCAGCCAAATAATCAAAGTCAAAAGACAACTAGTGCATCCTTAATACCTATAGATGCTCTTGGGTTCTCGCAGGATGACCGGATACACATATGGAGTTTCCCCAGAGTTTCATTTTTCTTTTTCAAGTGTTTGGAGTGTATCTTATTCATCTAACACTACATCTGTTACTTTTCCTCCAGCCCTGACTGACTCATTGGCAAAATCTAATAAGTTCCTTATTTCTTTTCCATGTAATTGTCTATAAAAATCTAAGGAGCACCCAAAATACTTTTCTTACATGTATAAGCCTGGTCTTCAGAATGGAAATTAAAGGTATATCTAAAGATATCTTTCTTTTCATAAGAAAATCTAAATATTTGAATGGGTTAGTAAAAGATCTCAGGGAATTTTACTTTCTACAGTCTTCACTAAGGGTCGCTTCTAATCTCAAGAACATTAGGGAACATATGTTGAAAAGAGCAGTAATGACCTAAGTGACCTTCTCCAGGCCCCACTGGACTTCCTTTGCTCTAGCCTAGGAATTATTTCTAAAAGCTCCTTCTTTTCTGCTCTTAAAGAGTCATCTGGAAAGAGAACGAAGTTTATAGAAAAAAGCAGAAATACAGAGAAAAGGCTGGAAAGATCCAAGTGTTTAATTTACTATATACCTATTAGAATTAATTGCTCTTCCCCCAACCTGCCAAAAACAACCACTCCACCCTCAACAAACAGAGTCTCCTATGGCAACATGTGCCTGGGAAGCTGACAGTTTGAGTCCAAGGTTACAATAAAAAAATAGCAAAGGAAGAATGACTAATTGACCCCAAATTTAAAAATAGCTGAAGACTGGATATAGACTAGAAGAGTTTAATTTCAATAATTGAAAGATGTCCGTCTTAGGATATCACTCTAACCCACAGGCATCTTTTCCAAGAAAAGGTACTAGGCTTGGTTTCTCTGCACAACGTGTACGTAGGTGAACTTCACCACCCATATGTATATCTTGTTTATCCTACAACATCAGAAAATAAAGCATTTCACTTAAGGCGCTTTTCAAATATCTGAAGCTTATCCCAGTAGGGGTCACTTTTTAATTTTAATTTTAGCCATCTTGGTAAAAGAAAAAATCTTTAAAAAATGTCTTTTTTTTTGCCTTTTAAAAACATGTAGAACCCAAAGTCATTAACATAACTGCATATGATTTTCGCTTTATAGAAAAGCTCTCCCCTTTGCTAACTGTGCCTCCTTTAAAACAAACACACGTGTACATACACACCACATGCAGAGATGATTTATCTTTGAGCCGGAAGGTCAAGCCCTTAGAATTTTATCTATGGTCAACACTTAAATCTGAGAGAGTGTTTGGTCTACTCTTCTTATGATGTATGAGCCTTATGATACCTATTTTTATTGTTATAGAAAGCGTTTTTTTGCCATGGCTTTTCTAGCCATGTTCCAGGTAGATGAATGTTATATAACCTAGTGTTGTTTCCCATTCTGAGGTTGCTGTGGGGAGTTAGCCATAGAGATAGTGTGGCTCTGTCTGCTGTCTATGGGAATAGTCAGTCATTCAGTCACTCCATAGTCTTTATTCCACACCTATATGTTCCAGGCATTGTTATGGGGTCACAGAGATCAATGAAATGTAATTCCAGACCTTGGGGGGACCCACCATAAGCATGTTTTTTTTTTTTTTTTTTTTTTAGCTCAATGTGATAGCTCAGTGTAGCATCAAGATGTGAACAGGAGTTAAATACCTAATCCAGATTTTGTCAGTGAGGGAAATCTGCTTTCAGGGGCTGGCTCCACAACATCTAGGCCCTATGGAGAAGAGCTTAGGACTAAATGATTCTGAGTGGAAGAGGAGTCTGAAAGATCTGTCTAAGAAGAAGAAACAGAGGGGTAAGTGGTCTAAGGCTGCCTATAACAGAGCCCAGGCCTGGGAATAGTTCTGTAAACACTGACCTATTGGCTGATAAGATCTCTCTTTCTTGAATCAGATTAAGAACATTGTTCTTCTACAGCTTGCAGAAGAACTCAAGACCACCTTGATGTTTTAGAAAGGTTAGAACTTCCGCTTTATTGACCTACAGGTTGGAATCTTAGCCAAAAAGGACTGTATCCCTAAAGGTAAGGCATGGGACTGGGTCCTGTTTTGTAATCTTGATGAGTGTTTAATACCAAGAGAAGATGCTAATCAAAGGTTTGCTTGATGCCAAGCACTATTTTCTCTTTCCCACAACATTTTCATAAAAATCTTCTTCTTATGTGAATGACAAATCAGAGCCACTTCAATTTCTTCATATTAATTAGGTTCTATCAGGCTCCCTTTCAAAGCAGGCATGGTGCAGTGCCTGATGGAGTTCTTGCAGCCAATAGAAGTTCTACGTAAATGTGCACAAATCTATGCACTCATTTTCTTTTTCTCTGGCTCTTCAGTGAATGGTGACTTGTGGCTTAATCCTCATTCTCCTTCCCATCCCATGATTCAGCTTTCTGTGTCTACATACCCTGGGCTTCACATGCAAACAATGCAAAGAACATCAAGAGTAGAGTCCTAGCACCAAGTCTCTCTTATAATCATGGGGGCAGAAACTGAGAGGCCTGCAAGGCCCCCAGAGACCCCGATAATGAGACCACTAGTTGCTTTTCAAAAAGATGAAAGACTGCGGGGCACAGTGGCTCACAACTATAATCCCAGAACTTTGGGAGGCCAAGGCAGAAGGATCACCTGAGATCAAGAGTTTGAGACCAGCCTGATCAACATGGAGAAACCCCGTCTACTAAAAATATAAAATTATCAGGGTGTGGAGGTGGGTGCCTGTAATCCCAGCTAATCGGGAGGCTGAGGCAGGAGAATCATTTGAACCTGGGAGGCAGAGGTTGTGGTGAGCCGAGATCGCGCCACTGCATTCCAGCCTGGGCAACAAGAGTGAAACTCCATCTCAAAAAAAGAAGATGAAAGACAAGTGCCGGTGAGAACATGGAGGAAAGGGAACCCTTGCACACTGTTGTTGGGAATGTCAATTATATGATCCAGCAATCCCACAACTGGGCACATATCCAAAGAAATCAAATTAGTATGTTTCAAGATATTTTTTAAAGGACCATAGATATAAGAAACTC